CCTTGCAATGACTCCTTGCAATGACTCCTTGCAATGACTTTCATGATGATGATTCCTTGCAATGACACCTTGTAATGACTCTCATGAGAACAACTCAAGTGAACCCAGCGGAAGAACCCTTCGCCATGCTTTCGGGAAAAAACAAAAACGTTTTGGCTGCGCTTTCACCGCACGGGTTTGTCCGGGGTCCTGGCAGCGAGCGACTCGGAGGTCAATCATGATGATGATTCCTTGCAATGACACCTTGTAATGACTCTCATGAGAACAACTCAAGTGAACCCAGCGGAAGAACCCTTCGCCATGCTTTCGGGAAAAAACAAAAACGTTTTGGCTGCGCTTTCACCGCACGGGTTTGTCCGGGGTCCTGGCAGCGAGCGACTCGGAGGTCAAATGCTGCGAGTGCGGCTGTGCTTCCGTGACCTTTGTGTCTCGGCCGTATCTTCGTGAATGGACAACATACGCTTCGGACCCGTTGGAAAGGATGAAGCAATGTGAATTGGACAAACCACCAACTTGTGCAATTTGACAAGCACGAGTTTGTCCCTTCGATCAAATTCGGTTTGCGTGGAGAATTGGTTTGAATTTCTCCCAGGTTCCGTTTTGTTTTCCTTGCGGCATCAAGTGTGTCTGCGTTCGATCGGGTCTATGGAACAAGCCTTTTAGGTTGCCGCTTTTTTCTGAGCCAAGGGAATCCCAGTACGCCGGTCATTTTCACATGGAAACGCCATGCAGGCTTCGGCCGGAATCTGCCTCCAATTTCCCTTGGCAGGATCAACCATTGCTTCAAGGTCCTTCAAGAGGGCTCACAATGCTCACTGTTTGGGAGGGAAGTACTTGAATGGCGTGGGGGGTATTTCCTTGTGGCCACGGTTCTCGAAGCAATCCTGCAGCATGATTGAGGACCCTGCAATTGCTTCTGCGTGTAGATTCTTCGCACTCGTGTTGCACCCGGACTAGTGAACCGGGTGAAAGGGCAGCTGCTCCTCCGAAAACCAAAGGATACCACCAAAAAAGGACAACCTTCCAAGTGCTTGATCAAATTATCAAAATCATGGCTACTGGCTTTGAATCTGTGCCCCATTGTACCAGGATCCTGCAAAACCGCCGCCCGAACATGTCGTTCCTGCGCTTCGCATGTTGATCTCTGGGCAAGGCGGCAACCACCAGGCGCCCGGTTGGATCGTTGGATCCGAGGCCGCCACGGCCAAGTTGGGTCGAAGCACCAGATTGTACCTTCTCGGCATGGATCTAAATGCACAGCACATCGAACCTTTCGCAGCACTATGCATCTGGGGATTCTGTTTGCATGTTCGATCCCTTTCCGGGTGGTGCAGGGAACGCACAACCCTTAACAGGATTCCATTGTCCCATTTTGAGAAAGACCCAAGAGCGCAGACACCAGCCACTGATCCTTGCTCTTCTCAGGATCCATTCCTCTTTCTCTCCCTGCCTTTGCCAAATCAGCTGAAGCGCGGTCCCGGCCTGCTTGCGAGGTAGGCTTGGGTCAGACTTGGTTTGTCAGAAGGGAGGCTTGACTTCTTCAAAGAGGTGCTAAGCTTGTTTTCCCCGAATGTTTCTCTACCTTAGACAACACAGGCTGCACATGTTGATTGAATTTGTAGGATTGGTGCCTGACTGCATGAAATGGATTCGTCGAATTGATTGATTCAGCGTGAGCTCTTAGATTTGGCATGTCGTGCCAGGCGGAAGAAAGGTGCACATTGAGGCGAGGGAGACAGGTACAGAGAAAGGCGAGTGGTCTCCGGTAGCGTCCCTTGTGTTCTTGCCTTCCGTCTCGTTTAAGGCTTAGTGTACCACCAACAAATAGCGCATTTACCATGGCTAGTTTTCTTCAAGACCAACAGGGGAAAGCACCTCACCTCCTTGTGATGAGTCGTTTTCCCCATGGCATTGGGCCACGGATGTTCTACCTTTCACTTGCAGGGAATAGGGTGCGCGTGATGGTCAATAGACTAATCCTAGGCAGAACTCAGAGAGGCTCCAGGTGTGAACTTGTGCATGGCGTGACTGACCTGTTCTTTCTTTGGATGAAATGCATCGGCACTCTGGCGTTGCTCGCGCCAATCTTGGCCCAGGATGCCCGCCTAAGTCAAGAATTTTGGGGAGGGGCATTCCATGTTTCTGGCGAACAGACTCAAAGCTTCAGGAAAGGAACTGGGAGGACACCCCAACCTCCCCCTCCGCATCTGGCGAGGAGGCGATCAAGGCCTTCTGCGACGAGGAAAGGTTGGAGGCGGAGAATTCTTGGGGCTGCCCCAGGCGAGGGGACGGGCGGGAGGGAGGCGGGGGTGGTCCCAAGGGGGGGGGCGCCTTATGCGCCCCTGCGGGTGAGTAGCAAGAAGCGGCCAGAAGCAGCTGAAAGACGCTGCTCAGGGTGCAGTATGAGAGGATGTTGCGGTTTCTGTTTGGGTGCGCGAGCCCGCCAAAAAGTGTGATTTGTGCATGAATCATTGACAAGTTGGCAAAACAGATAGCCAATGTTAAATCCGCAGTGAATTCGCTGTTCAACGCATTTATCCCATGCAAGACAGAGACGCAACAGAACTTACAGGTAGAACCCTGCAAAGCAGTGTGTTGCCGAGCAAGCGTGCTTGTAACCAGCAAACGAACGATAATCAAGGGCGCATAGGAGCCTGTTCAGTTGGCGCGCCCTTGGGAGTCTCTCATTTTTGTGCAACGTTTCCAGGATCTCTTGCCGGCTTCTCCGTCCAGCACTTGACGAAAATATCCATAGCGCATTATGCAAGCTTTGTCCCTGCCACCCGCATCTCATCATAGCCACATCAGAAACGTTTGCTGAACGGAAACAAACAAATTTCAGCCCAGCTTCGCATAGCATCCATCTGGAGACACTGTGTGTGGCGTGAAAGAGGACCGGAGCTCAGCACTGGCCAGATAGTCTCGCCAGCCCTCAGTGCTGCCCAGTGCCTTACGCGTTGATGCGTCGCCAGCTCCCAGGCTCACCTCATCCGCGTTTTTGTCCGTAGAGTTGTGGCCCGAGTGCAGCCTAAGGGATGCGGGTGGGCCTGAAGGCCCCCAAAGCCTGCAGGCTTCAGGAGGACGACAGCGCAGCTGGGTGAAGCTTGATACAGGTAACAAGAACATGTTGTAGATATGTTACGCACTGGGCACGGAGATGTTGGATCCTCAAGTTGCAAATGCAGTTGGCCAAGTCAACAAGTCAATCAAGCATCTACTACAGGCCCCTTTACTGACTGTTTTTGGAGCGATGCTTCGGGGGTAAATACGCCAAAATAACAGCAATGAAACAACACCACGCACCATAAGGCGGAGAGCCAAAGGGCAGTAAAACGGATGGGTGCAACTCAAGGGACTGGAGTCTCGCTGTGACTCCCAGGCTGGACTCCAGCTTACACGGTGTTTGATGAATGGTGCCAGCAGGAGACCGAAGAATTCGAATGGCGACTTCGGAGGAATCCGAAGCATCGTGCACTCGGGAAAGAATAGAGAAAAAAACAATTTCCTGAGGGCCAGTGTTTGAGGCTATCGAGAGCTCAGCGCTTTGACCGGAGTTGCAGTTGGTCAACTTGTAAACTCAAGAACGAAAAGGGAAGCCTTTGCAGGAATTGCCCTTGCTGCCGAGCTTGTCTTTGCCTTTGCCTACACCCTAAACCGTACTTCAGACTCTAAATAGTTCGAAACCCTTGAAAGCCCAAAAAAAATCTTAAGCCCTACAGCCCAAACAGAATCAGACCCTCAAATCCTAAACCTAAAGACTAAAGGCCCAAGCCTAAAATCCCCTGGACCTCAACACCAAAACCCTAAACCTAAAACCGAATCCGCCCCAAACCCAAACCCCAAAGCTCCCAACACCTACAATTGAACCCTAAAGACCCGAACCCCCTTAAGCCGGATCCACCATGTTTTGACAAGAAGTCACCAAACCACCAGACGTGCATCCATGCTGCAGCTGGTCTGTGTCATCTACCTACAAGAGGTTGTCAGGACGAATGGGGTGTAGGCGTGTTTCTGGTGGCCAGCTCTAGACTTGCGTAGCTTGCAATAGCCAGTACACAGCTGGTCTTGAAAGCGAATCAGGATCAGCTTTACTTGCCTGAAGAAGAGGAGTATGCGATCAATGGCTAGGTAAGCTTCTTGCTACCGCCCAAGTTTCGAGATGCCTACGTACATATCTACAAACCTACCTACGTGTATGTACATGGGCACATTCCTTCAAGCATTGCAAGCTCAAGGCACACACACACACACCTGCTAGATGCATGAATATTTACCACGCAGAACACATTTTGAATGAAGCGATTTTCTGCGAGCTGCGTGCGAATCCGCCGGCTCACTTGCCTTCAGATGCGATCGCCGGGTGAGCGCCTCCAAGCGCTTGTCACTCTGGCCCGGGGGCCTGTGCCACGCTGTGATGCAATGAAATGAGGTGCTTGTGGCTGTGTCTCCACATCATTGTCGACGCCAACTTGTGTGTTGGAAGAAGTTAGAGGGGAACCAACCTTAGGGCTTACTCAGTCTGATCATATTGGACACCTTCCACTGGTTATAGTCAAAGTACTTCCGTTTGTGCGTCACTTCCGGTGTTCAGTGTGCGTTTGTGTATGTTTGTGTATGTGCGTGTACGCGCGTGTTCCTGTGTATGTGTGCGTAATACATATTAACTGCCTTTGATTACAGCCGATTACAGCAAAGGCCGGGCAGACACATATTTGGGGCAACATGCTGAATTAGGTGCAGAACGAGATAGGAACACACGCAAAGCGAGGTAGGGCCATGACAAGGCGGTGCTTGAGATCACAAAACGGCGTTGGGAACGAGATCAACAAGTCCAAACGGGTGCAGGGTTGGCGAGTGAGGTTGGAACACCCGACCATGTAGCAATAACTGCAGTAGCTCATGTGAGACGTCATGTAAGAAATATACACACGAGTGCCTGGTTGTGAGGCTGGCTTTGTGACAAGATGCATGTTGCTTGGCAAAACCCGCATTGTTGACGCAAGCGCGAGTGGCTGTCAAACTTGTCATCATTATCTTGCAATACCCAAGTGGCCCATGGGTTTGTATCACAACATGAAGCGACATTCCCGCCAAACACTCACTCACTTGTCACCTTTGCTGGTGGTTGACCGTGTTGTCGCATCGCCGAACATCGCAGCCATTTGCCATGGACACATATTTGCATTCATGTGGGCATGTGATTTGAGTTGCAAGTGATTTGATTTGTATTTGTTGGATTTGATTTTCCATCTGTGTGGTTTCAATCATGCAGCAGGCATGCATTCTGCTCAAAGAACACCGCATGCTTCAGCCATAGCGGAAGACCAACCAGGCACGCTTAGCCAGCGTTGCACCAAGAACAATCACTCGCCAGAGCACAATTCCAATGTGTTCAATACTGCATCGTAGGCTTAAATTTTGCCTTCCCGCAGCATCATGACTTGCATTTGCCTTGGTTTTACAAGATACCGGTTCCTGTAGGGCGCTGAAGTACATAGATATATACACATGTCAGTTATCGTCTGCTGGTCTTGCTTAGCTGGCAGAATGCACACCACGCTTTCCCCAAGTGTGTACACGCTGCCAACGCACGCCGCGTCGTATCGGGCTCGCCATGTGGCTCGGAAGTGCAGCTCTCAGAGACTTCCCCCCACCCCACCCGCGCTTGCGTGAACCGCAGAGGGCTCCTCATGCTTTCCTTTTGGAATCACATATCACCTTTGCACCGATGGAGTTCCCCACTCTTGACCCTTGACCCATCCAGGCTAGTTCAACGCCAAACGCCATTGTTGCTGCACTGAATGCAATGAAGGAGGAAGCTGCTAAAGCTTGACCAAGGCGTGTGTGGTTGACATCTCTTATCACAAGTTGAACAAGTGACCACCTGAGTGGCCACGTTTGTGACCTTTGTGTGATGACCAAGGCGCCGTCGGCATCGCGTTGAGATATGCCTTGTACTTTGCCTTTGCCTCAGCACATTCCTGAGAGAGGAAAGCCTTGCAAATCATTGCCGTTTAAGGATTAGTCGCCAATCGCTGCCCGAGCACTGGAACTTTGGATTAGGGTTTAGTTTGTGTGAGACGCACCCATGTCAAATGCAGCATTTTGGCTCACGCGCATCAAGTGCATTTTCAAGCCCCTTGTACCTGGAAAGACATGGCGTTGGCTTTGCTAGCTTTGGCGGCCGTGCCGGCTGCGGCCTATGAGTTCGTCGGTGGAGCGACTTCCGGAGCCGAGGTGAGCTACAGTCCAAACCCGGGTTCGTTTCAAAGTGAGGGGGCATCAACATGTTGAATTTGAAAATTGCCTTTGCCAACCAAAATGCGGTTCCCTTAAAGCAGAACCCCCATGGTGAGTGAAGGATAGGGGACAGTTTGCCTTCAAAAAGGTGCGGGAAGCTGTGAGGCCTTCTGCATCCTTTTTTTCTTTTTCTTTTTTTTTATCCCTTTGAGTAGAGCCCTTTTGTTTTTGACAGGTGGCGAGCGGGGGCAAGATGACCATGGGCGGCAAGGTGGGCGGATACGCGTCGCTGCTCCAGGCCAGCAACCCTTCCTTAGGACCGGGAGTCCCCATTTTGGATGACTGAGACCCGTTCCCAGTTACAAAGGAAAACTAGTTTTGCTGTTGGCAGTTGGTTGCTTTCCCCCAGTAAAAGCACGACGGACCCGTGAAAGCTGAAAGTAAGGAACGCAACAGAAGCAGCAGTATCTCGCTTTCAACGTCAGACAGTTTTACTTGGTTACTTTCCCCCATCACTTTGCACAAGTCATTCTGCGCACTTTGCTATCTGTTTTCCTAACCTTTTCACGTGCTAGCTCATTTAGTTCCAGTGCTACGGAAAGTTCTCGTACCGGAGTTCAGGATGCATGGAGCAAGAACAAGTCCAAAACCAATTCCCCAAAACCGACTTGTTCCTATTTGGAACGGCATGCGCGCGCTCCGCAATCCACATGAAAGCTCGTGAGCACCAGTTTTTTTGGGGAAAGCGCATGGTATGTACACGTTGTTTTGTTTTTGGAACATTATGTATTATATATACAATTGTTTCCTTATTTATGCAACAAGTGCAGAAACATACTTCAATCAAGCAACGACCTCTGACATCTGGGTTTTGCATTTTCGCATTTGTTTTGCCTGTGCAGGTTTTGGAGCTTTCAGGTTTGGATGTTTTGCATTTTTTAGAACCCAAAGCTCCAAATCTTGCACAAACAAATGCAACAATCCAGAGCTAAAAGCTCTGAAAGCTGCACAGGCTCAAACAAATACAATAAACATATAAACACCTAGACCAATCAAGCCCCGACCTCCGACATCTATGTTTTGCATTTTTGCATTTGTTGAGCCTGTGCAGGTTTTGGAGCTTTCAGGTTGGATTTGCTGCATTCTGTTGAGCGTGCATGTTTTGAGGATGCAACCATCAAGAACCACAAAACACTGTTTCCCTTGCACACACTGCAAAAAACAGTGTTTTCAACACTGTCAAAGTTGCATCCGAAAAACGCTTGTCGTTTTTGTGTTTGTTGCTTTCTTGAGTCTTGTTTTGCATAAGGCAAACAAAGAACATCTGGCGCAATATAAACAGTCTGACAAAACACTGTAAAATACAGTGCTTTCTGTAAACTACAGTGCTTTCTGCAATCATTTGCAAGCCAAGCGACACTGAACATCTGCAAATAGATTTGTTTTGTGCAAGAAGTAGAGGGCCTTGGGATGGGGGTGACCACACATATATATATATATATGTATATATATATATTTATATCCTGTTTGGTCGTCTATTAACGGGGCAAATTCCAGGATCATACTTGTACCTGTTTGTTACTTTTCCCGAAATAATAGCGAAGGGTTTTGTGATAAACCCGCCCGAGAGATTTCACAGAGGAGTAGCACCAACAGATCGTCCAAGAGATTGCGCCCAAGAGATTGCGCCCAAGAGATTGCGCCGGGAAACTCCACCCGAGATTGTCCAAGAGATTGCACAGAGAGATGTTACCAAGAGATCGAGATATCTCCCAAGAGATTGGGCCGAGACATGTTCACTCAGAGACCGCCTGAGAGACTGCACAGAGAAATGTCAAGGAGAGATCGCTCCGAGAGATCGCATTTGAGATTACACCGAGAGATGTCAAGGACGGATGTCATGGAGAGATTGCCCAGAGAGATCCCGCGTGAGATTGCGCTTGAAGACTTGTGCCAAAAGAGTCGCGTGTGCACCTTAGCCCGAAGACTTGAAACTTCGACCCTCTCACAGATAAGGCTCTCGTCGACCTTCAAAAGCAGCGCCTTTTACACAACTTGTGGGGCTTTTGCCACACTTTAGCATTCCCGCACCACCCTGTTTGACCTTCAAACAGTTTGGACTTTTGCGACCTTGCGTACTTCTCCCACAACCCTTTGCGGGGATCGGGCGGGCCTTCGCCTCTGCTCGCGGTTCCCGCGCCGGCAAACTTGTAGAGAACGTGCGCAGAGAACTTACGAAGAGAAGCTTGCATCAATAACTTGCACAGACGAACTTGCATAGAGAAACCTGCGCCGCGAACTTGCGTAGAGAACTTGCGTAGGTAAAATTTCAATGGCAATCTTTCGCAGAGAAACTTGCTACACAAATGCGGCAAGAACTTGTGCCGGTGTGCAAAGAGAGTGAGCACAAACTCACTTGCGCAGAAACACTGTGAGCCTTGTGCATCTTGCGAAGGAAGACGTTTAAGGGAACTTGCGCAGGGGTAACTTGCACAGAGGGCACGGAGGAAGCCTCACCACAATGCCGCGTCGCGTCTTGGCGCGCGTGCTCTTGGTTTGGACGCACCAGTTGTTTGTCTAGCGGTTGAAAGAGCATCTTTTGCCCATCAAATAAGTCTTCTTTTGGCGGGCGACGATTGAAAGGCCTTTGAGTAACCTTGTAGGAGAGCTTTCCCTGGTCCTGGAGTGCTGCGGAGGCGCGACCTCCTTGGCCAGTGAAGCCGCGAACGACGTCAATGTCAACACGTTCGGCTCGGGTGCTAAAAAGGGGCTTCTGGAGAAGTACACCGAAAAGAACACGTGCACCAAGGCAAGTGAAGATGCCGTGGCCAACGACCAGTGCAATTACGCTTACTCTTTCCACAACAAGGATTGGATGGAAGCGGCCTACTCTGCCTTCTGCGTGCCCAGCGACGTTTGCTCCGTTGACGTAGTGGGCATGACCAAAGGCACTAAGATCGGCTACAGCGTGGTGGAGCAAATCCTGAACAACAATGCTGGCGACCTCATGTTCGCCGGCTACGGAAAGATCGGCTCCTGCCTGGGCGGCATGAATGATGTGAACCTTGGCGCGACTTCCAAGTTTGTCAAGGAGGTCCCGAAATTCGTGGAGCTGGTTCCCGGAGTCAAGATCCCCACCGGCAAGAAAA